AAGCAGGTAAGTATCAACCAGGAACCTTAAAATATGTTTAATTCAATTTTAATTTATTTTCAAACTCGAAATTCAAAACAATAAAACACTAACAATATACTTACAATATTTTAAAATATTCAAAGTGTCTTACCAGGTACATTTCTATATTTTTGGGTTTATTTTTACGTACTGAACTATGATATCAATATGTACTTATAAGAAAAAAAGTTGACTCTAACTGCTGATCTAAAACCATACATAACCGAGATAATTTTGTACTTTGATCGTTTGTTTGCAACTGAAGAGAAAGATGAAATTTGTGGTAAGCTTTTATCGCTACTTTATTTGAGGATTTGTTATTTAACAGACAAAAAAAAATCAGTTCAAGAAAAAATTCAAAAACAAATATTTATACGTAGATCTACGCGTAAACAACCAAAAATTGGAGCTTATCATAACACATCTGATATCAGATATGATCATAGAAACTAAATCAACAAAAGATTTCTCGATTTCGTTTGATTATGTTTGCATTAATTTTTTTACGCCATCATTTTCTAATCAAGCTAATTTGAATTGATGATTCTATCAGGAGAATGTCAAAGATAGCACAGAATTGTCGCAGAAAGTTGTGATATATCGCGTTATAGGTAAAATATAGCATCCCGACATAGAAAATAAATGATCCTAAAATACGTGTTTGATATCCGAAGAATAAGCTATAAAATTGTTGCAAAATTCATAATTTATAGAATTCATAAATTTTAATCACGGAATTTAGATTTTATCACCGCAGAAAATCATCGGTCCCGATATCGCCATAGGGATGACAAAAAACGTTTTTTATTTTTTTAAACATTTTTAAAACATTTTTTGTGTTTGTATTAAATGTTATATAAAAATGTCGCTACTTTAGATTATTCAAAGTAGCAACTTTGAATAGGTGACTACTTTAGATGCAACGTAATCATTCTATAATCCGATTGGTTAATAAAAATATTTGATTTTATTGAAAATTTAAATGTTTTAAACCTTTTAAACCATGTTTAAAACATTTGCCATTCTTACATCGCCACCAATCGAGAGCTAAGTCACATTTTATCATGCAAATGTTTTGACATCTAAACATTAAGTTCATATTCGCTTATTGCGCGACTTTAGGACTTTTATTTATCAAACTATATCTTTTTATAGGCCTCATTATTGAGACTCAAATGGTGTACATAAAATTGATGAATTAAATGACATAAAAAAGAGCATCTTAAACAAACAACCTAATAAGAAATTATTTAAATATTTAGGCTCCGGACCCACGGTTCCCGTTTCCTAGTTTTATTTCCAAAAATTTAAATGAAACAAATGATGCTAAATCATGTTATTGAAATGGAACTGTAATAGGAGGGATTTAAAGAGGCCAATTATAAACAACTACTTTTATCATATTATTATAACATATATATATAGTATACGTATTTAATGACTATGAACACTAAAAAAAATGTGGATTGCAATGGTTCATCGTGCTGAATAGATAAATCAAAAAAAGTTATAAGAACTGTTGTAATTTTCAAAAGAGTATTATGAAGACTTTATAAGAGATAATTTTATTTATCGCTGATGTGTTTTGAAATTCAATAAGTTATATCTTGATTCCTCTTAAAATTAAAAGCAAAATTATGATATTGGCAATAAAAATCTAACATTATTTAAGGTGTTATGGAATATCAAATATAATATTTTATGAATTATATTATAAAATAAGCACTTATGAGATCTCTGCGTAGTAACCTTTTTCATCTGGCACAAATGGCATAGAAAAATAAATTAAATCTATTGCATTGCATTTCTTCTAACCTTCAAATTATTTATCAAAACTTATTAATATTCATGTAGCAGATTAAACTGACTATGACAACTATTATATAATATTTATTCGGTTAATTTAATTTAATTCGTGACCCGCCAAAGAACCAGTGAAAAAACATAGTAAACCGTGGAAATTTACTATTGTTTTTTAGAATCTGGAGTTTCACAAAGGATAACTCGATTTTTTATTAAGTAAATTCTCTTTAACTTCTAACAAAAGTTGTAGAGAAGAGAATTCCGTGCATAATAGTAGTTGAAACGTTAAATTTGGCCCAATGGATCGTGAGATATGGGCATTTTATCTTCACAACTAAATGTTTACTTATTTGTGTAAACAAAGAAATAAACATATATATAGTCACAAAGACAAAAATACCCATATTTCACGATCCACTGTACCGATTTTAACGTTTCAACTACGATTTATCCTTCGGGAAACTCTAGATTCCAAAAAAGAAAAAAATTTACATAGTAATCATATCCTCAAAGTTTACTATGTTTTTCACTGGTTCCCTGGTGGATTACAAATTAAAGATATTATTGATTGTTTTTAGTAACTATTCACATTTGTTTGTATCATTATATAAAATCTTGTTAAATTTTATTTTGTCAATTTAATTAGTAAGTGTTTTATGAAACTTAGATTCCTGACAATTAATACAGTATTATATTTTTTTTATACATGTTTTTTTAACTAATTGCTCTTTTTAGGTTCTTTCTTGAAATTATTAATAATTTCTTAATATTACGTTTTGTACTTGTAAAAATAATCTTATTAATCTGATTTAAAATATCCTATTAATTATAATAATAATAAATAAAAAAATTAATACAGCAATAAAAAAATACTGCACAGTATAATACATAATACTCTTTGTTGCAATATAATAAGCAGTAAAAAAAAAATTAACTAAATACAGTATATACAAAAAAAAAATTTAATTAAATATAGCATATACAATAAAAAATTTTTATTATAATATATATATAATTTAGTAAAAACAGATACTAGTATAGTTTACATAAAATTTTTTAAAAAATTATTCTAGTTTTTGTTACTTATAATTTGTCAATAAAAATATAAAATTATTAAAATAACATTTTTCTTAGAACCTCTATTAATATATTTTTTCTTTTTTTAAAACAAATAATAATATAACCTAGAGATTATACTTGTAAATAAATTTACTATATACTCAGGTATTATTAAAATATCTAGGTTATTTATGTAAAATATTATATATACTATTCAATATCTAGTATAGTTTATAAATTTTGTCTTCTGACCAGAATTTTCTTTTACTCTTATCTATAAACCTCCCTGAAGTATAACGATCTTATTTAAATCTACTTATCAAATCCAAACATCTTTTTCATTTGAGGTTGTGTTATAGTAAATTAGTCCCAGCGGTCATATTCCAATCTCATAGTAGTGTTCGTGTAAAAACTTTTCTATCATTTTTATCCCTTTAAAATTAATCTGATTGTCGTGATTTCAAAATGATTAAAAGTAATGTTACAAAAGCCTCCTCTGTCGTATCTAAAGTTACTATCTATCTGAAGTTGCAACTTTAGATATATAAAGTTGCACTTAACAGTTAACCAGAATTATATGTATAAAGATCTAATTTCAGGGGCTTAATTTTAGTTGGATCAACTTTATATATCTAAAGTTGCAACTTCATATAGATAGTAACTTTAGATACGACACCTCTAATGCTCTAGTATTCCAATCCAAGATTATTGTAATCGAGGTTTAAACCAAAACCTGAAAATTAAAGATTTAAGAACCCATTTTTAACTTAAATAAACAGCATCAGGATGCAGTACAAAGTTTCAGGAGAACAGCAGGAACAAATGTGGCCAAGATAGTTCAGGATAGTAAATAAATAAAGAATATGGATAAGATACAGTATGCGCATGAATAGATAGAATCACGAATACAAGCATTCAGCAGGATGCATATAAATCAATATGAGATATCACAGGCGCATTACAATACAATAAGCATTCATTATAATAGAGAGATGCAGTATATACTGTATACTGTAAAACCTAAAGATACAAGCAAAGTGGATTCAACATCCATCCTTTAAGTTACCATTCATTACTAATCTTCATTCTCTTAACACCAATGGAACGCCTTTATCTAAATCAAGGCTTTTCTCCTGAAACAATCATCCTTACCACTATTTAATTCTACTATAATAACTCTTGGTCAGGCTAGCAGTTGTCGATAATTAGTAAATGCTTAGTGTTAACACGATTATGAGATAAATATATATGAAGCAATACAGGAATATGGTGTTTGAGGATCAAGACAGGGTGACCAAATCATGATGGTGCAGGGGTATTAAAGAAAGGTTTAAGGGGATTTAAGAATAAAGGTGATGATGATTATAAGGAAATTGTTGGGTGCAGAAAAGTTACGAGGTAACACCAGACAATACAAAAAAGGTTAATAAAAATATGAAACACGGACTCTAACAAAAAATGTTGGGGGTTCAACTTTACATATAACAACAGTTCTAATCATAATCCAAACATCCAAATCCAAACGATATGGATAAATAATTCTGGCTCATATCCGGAAATTTTTGGACTGCACCCTTTGTTTGGAATGATTACGATTAAGATTATATAACATTTGCATTTTAACATTAGCGTTGGAATTTTTACTTGAAAACTTAGTTATAATTGTCATGTAACAATAACTTTTATTAGGGTGTAGACTTTGAGATACTCATTGGCTATATAAATAACTAGATATTAATTACAAATCATTATGTAAACAATCCAATAAATTACGATCCTCGAAAATACAATCGATTATATAAATATGATAAACTTGCCAGAAGTAACGTCAGGGAACAAAACCTCTTTAACGCTTCAACAGTTTATTATAATAATTTGTTACTTGCCATTTGTAATATATATACAAAGCACCAACTTTTTGTAATGATCAAAGATTATGCGTGAATTATCATTGTCATTATAAGAAATCGATCAACCGATTTTGAAAAAAGAAAAAAAAATTGACCGGCTAAGCCGAAAATTAGCTTTAGCCGACTTCTTCATTATTGGCCGGAATCACTAAAGAGAACATTTTATGTTTTTAATGTTTTCAAAAATAACTATTCTCCTTTATTTTACTAGATAGGTTTAATCTAAAAAAAAAAAAAAAGGCATACATAATTAGTTACTATATCTTAATATATATTAATATCAATTCTGAAATACCTTGAAATGTAGCCCGATCAATGAAAAGACCAAACATTTAAGATCTTGTACTAAATAATAAAATACACGTAGACCTTCAGGATCATCACTTTCTTGCACGTCAACAAGTGACCCAATTTTTGCTGTCTATATTTTTGTAAAGTATTTTTTATTTGTGCTTAATATACAATCTAAAATGAACTCTAAAAAAAAAAAAATCAGATTTAAACTTTGTACCTCGAATGAGATGTGTTCATTACCCAATCTAATTTCAAGTTCTTGTCGCCCAACAACATTCTTTTTTGGCCATCGTTGATCGTCTTCTCTATAAAGGATTAGTTTACGTTAATTGATGTATCTGATGTATCAGTGCAAAGACACTAATATTAAAATACCTACTTCATAATTTCACTCTCCTGAATGACCCGTTTTAATTCTTTCATCATCAAGGGACTAACGTACACTAATCAATATCCCAAGAAAAAAACAGAGGATTAATATCTCCGGACATTAATCTAAATTTGTGAATGTAGTAAACAATTTATATTTTGAAGAACAAGACATAGATTTACTTACTTTCTTTTCTTATTAGACTGTCATTTCGATAATTTGAATTGTTAGCATAACGACATCTTCCATCAGCACGGAACTCAAATTCAAGAAATTCGTGGCCGTAACGGCCCATATGACCGGTACTTATAATAAGAAAAAAGGAGAGAAAAAGTATTAAAAAAAATGGAGCATATTAAAGAGTATCTTATAAAATCTGATAGTTTTATAATAATAAATGAATAAATGCGTACTAATAGCGGACATAAAATTCGTCTTCGTTAACCATAATTTTTTTTCTAGAATCGAAATCACGAAAGTGAGGGTGTATTTCAGTATTTTAGTATTTATCGTTATGTAACTCAATGTCACGTGACAAAATAACTTTAAATTTCCGCTCGATCAACCCAATACATACTTACGTACCAAGTTTCTTAATTTTAGCGTTAGGATTATGAGTTCCAGAGAATATTTTGAAAGCATTAAACATTATTCGACACTTGAAGAGGGGTCAGAAGTGGCTGATCTGTTAACAATAAGGAAAACTGCCTTTATTCAACAATTAGCTGTACTCTTTCAACAGGTATAGTTTGGTTCTCTTAAAATTGGTCATATTATTCTAATATTCTAAGTATGTCTTAAAATACTTTAACATCCTAGAAACCAAGAATAGAAGACGATGTTAAGAGGTATTTGTCAGCACCGTGGGACGATATTGTTATACAGTATATAAAGTGTATTATAGCTATGCATAACAGAAAGTTTGCGGAGGCCTTCGATGAATATCATAGCATGGTCCAGTATCCTTATAGTTTTGATTAATCTAAAGTCTTTTTTTCCGAAATCATAAAAGTCCCTTGACAATCAATTCAACAATAAAGGACCTTTCAAAGAGCGTTTTCACAACAGTTTGGGCGTTGGTCTTTGCCGATATTGTACGCTATAAACTATGATTTACGATTGCTTGCAATTAAGGTGATAATTTATTTTTTTTTTTATTAATCATATCAATTTTTCTTCATATCTTAATGGCCTTTCTTTATTTCATGATTAATTAAGTCGGACTTGATTTTTATGGTGGCAGAAAAACCACCTAAAAATTTAGAAATAGCAGCTCGCGCAATTAATAAATCATTTTCATTGTGCATAACAGACAGGTAAAAATTTATAATTCAATAATGGTATTTCATGTATGTATTTAAAAAAATTTTTTTGATTCATCAATTCTAGAGCTGCATTAAACGTCTCTCGTAAATGGGGGACTTATTATTTTGCGGGACTCTTGTTCAAAACATACTTCAAAGTTCGTATTTTTTTTCTTTTTTTAAACAATTTAAAATGATATTGATATATGATGACTCATATTTTATGAATTTTTTACTTTCAGTTGAAACAACAAAATTTGTGTAAAAATGTTATAAAATCAATTAAAGCGTCAACAGATTTACCGCCTTTTGGACAATTTCCCAGAGCACATCAAGTGACTTTTCTGTATTATCAAGGATTACTTGCTTTTCTTGAAGCCGAATATCCTCATGTACTTAAATTTTATTCACAAATTTGTATTTTCATTTTCTCAGTTTGAATATATCTTGATATTATGCATATTTTCATATTAGGCTGAAGAAAAGTTTGTAACGGCATTTCGAATGTGTCCTAAATCTAGTTTGAAAAATAAGGAGTAATTTCAAGCAAACTTTTTATAAAATTTTGCTCTGAAAATTATCGTTATTAACTATCAATTTCTATACTCAATTTTTTGTGAATGTCAATCTGTAGGTTAATACTTCGTTATCTTATCCCTGTTTGGCTAACCCGGGGTGTTTTACCATCGCCGGAGGTACTTTCTCGGTACCCTAAGTTAGAATCTTTGTATAAACCATTCATTGATGCCATTAGAGATGGTAATGTCAAAAAGTTTGATGACGCACTTGCAAAGTTTGAACTAAAATTAGTTGCTCAAAATACGTTCCTGACTGTTGAACTGGCACGAGAGATTGCGATGAGGGTCTTATTCAAGAAAGTGTAAGCAATTCTTAAATTTTTGACTTGTCTACGTTAAGCTTTAATATTTATTTATAACCTTTATATATAGTTACTTAATCAACATTCGAGAATCAAAGGTTCCATTGAGCAAATTTCAACAGGCTCTGAAATATGTAGGAAGAGACGTGGAAATGGCTGAAGTAATGTGGTATATGGCTTCAATGATTCAGAAGGTATGATTGCATATTTCTGTGTTTCTATCGTTGAGATTAAATTTATATAATAATTACATGTCATTATCTCTTAGGGTTTAATCAGAGGATACTTATCGTATTCCAAGGAGTTTCTAGTTTTGAGTGAGAAAAATGCCTTTCCCGTCTTTGGCGCACCAGCATTCACATAAAAAAAAAAAGTTTCAAAAAAAGTGTGGCTTTATTATCCGGCGTTAACACATTAGGGTATCTACTTGCAATTAAATTCCTAAAACATTTTTGTTTCATATAAATAGATGGCAAATAAAGTAGAATGAACTACTATAAGGTAGGTCAGTAAAGGTAGGTATTGAGATAAGATATCTATTAATAAATTTCCAACATTAAATCGAAATAAAATTCATTATTTCACATTTTAATTAAAATATATATATATAATATTTAATATATTGTCATTTTAGAATTTTTTCGACATTCAATCTTTAATGTCATCTAAGCCTTCTAATGCTAAAGCTTGTAAAGTCCTTGATACCTCTTTTGGTTCGTCATATTCTTCTAACAAATTGGCTGCGAATTAATTTGGTCAACAAAAAAAAATAAATAAATAAATCAATAACTAACTAATAGAATTTAAAAATAAAAATAATACCATTGACTCTCTTGCAATAATCCTCTTTAATGTCCACTTCAATACTTTTCCCACTTGTTTTGTTTTGTTCAGATTGTTCAATAACTCTGGGATCTAAAAATTTAAGTTTGAATCTTGGGTGTTTATTTGAAGTGACGTGGCCACCCCATAACCAATGAGGAATTGTACTAGGAATTTCGATTTCTCCAAAAAATTTTTCGATGAATTCACTTTCTTCCGATGATATTACACCACCGCGAAGATATCTGATTTAATTATCAAAAGGATGAATTAATTATAAACACAAAAGAGAAAAGAATGTAACTTTATATTATTAATCCTAACCTAAGAAATTCACTCATACATGAAGGAATACTCCACATTTGTAATTTTCGCAAGCAAGCAATGACTAGGCCTGTAACGTCTGCACCATCTAAACAATGAATAAATATTGGTAGATTTGATGGATCTATAATTATCTGATTACATTATTTGAACGTAAGTTCGCTAATGATTAAACATTTTACAATTAATAAAGTTTATGAGGAGAAAAGTCTTACTTGTACAGATTGAATAGCTCTACTATAACCTAAGGGTACATTATCCTTTACTTTATTAACTTGAAGATGAATATTACGAATATTTTGAGATTGACAGAATTCTAATAATTCGAGAACTGGCGGATCGGGAGTTAGAGAAAGCATTGTTTTTAATTTAAGTCTAGAAGGTTTTATTGATTCAGTCGCGTTAAGTAATGCAAAAATTATTCAAGAAATTTACTAAGTCAAACCTTTTAAGAAAGCGGTAATTTCGTTTTTTGGGATATGCTCCGCGGTATACTTCGTCTTCAACAGTAGCATAACGGAAGGGGGGTATTAATGGTGGGAGCATTTTTTGCATGACGGAATGTGCAAAAGTCGCGACAGTGGTTCTGTGGTGCAGATCCGACTCATCGATGAAATTACGGAACACGTGAGAAGCGCCCCTGCCAACAAGAGTCCCTCATACGATGGGGTAAATTATACGATTTGACACATTTGTAGTAATAATACAGTAATAGCTTCGAGCGTTGAGTACGTCGAAATAGAATCTTGCTAAATTTGGAATCTAAAATAGAACCGAAATTTTCACAGTAAAATCTAATTACACTAGGAAACGGAACCGTTGGAGTCCGGAACCTAGATATTTAAATAATTTTTTATTAGGTTGTCTGTTCTTTGCAGTGTTGTTACTAGCCTTAAGTCCAATAAAAAATTATTAGCCCTAACGCTAGCCCTCATGTCCAATTGGACATATGGCTAATTGGACAAATGGCTAATTAACCCTAGCTGTTGTCCATGTGTCCAATTGACTATGTCTAACTGGGCATGAGGGCTAGGGCTAATTAGACACATACCTAATTTAAAAAAGAAAAAGTAGATATTTGTCTCTTGTGTGTATGTTTAGTGTTATAATCGTGTGATTTGATTGGTATACCAACTAAATCCTGTAGAATTAGCTAGCAGCGTAGGAGTAGAATGGAGAGTAATCAATTTAATTAATGATGTGTATGTAACATTAGTTATCGTGTATAGTTTCAGGAAAGCTCTTGCACAGAACCAACAAGTGCGATAAGTTAATGTAAAACCTCAGATCCAGTGTGTGAGAATGTTGATGTGATCATATCTGAATTCCAAAATTGTAATTGCCATGTGAAAATAAGAGATTGGTTCACCAACTCTATGAAGCCTGACCAGTTAATTGCATTCGAAGCTATGGTTTATTCGCTTGTTTAAACTGCATTGTAGCTTGCTTTACTACGAGTAGAGGTATTACCCGAGTTAGTTGACCCGTACGGGTCACGAGGCGAAAATTAATCTAGCCCAGGCCAAACAGGTCAGGATTTAGAATAGGCAAAATTTATTAAAATAATATTTTAATGTATATTATATGAGTGCCGCCAAGGGAAAACCTGTCATCGGGCTTTCAATTATATTTTGTACCGGACATATTCCCTAAGAAATCAAATAGATTTTGTCCGGTACATAATATAATTATATCTTTTTGCTTTTTTTAAACTGAGTTGCTATCGAAGAAAATCCGCTGGCTAAAAAAAAAGTGGAAGAAAACGAAAGAAGTAACGAAGCTAAACTTTGTAAAATACGTGACTTAAATTTGAAAAAAATAGTATAGGAGTATAACAAAAACCGGGAAATAAATCAGTTATTATCCGCGAAGCGGCAAGACTGCAAATTTTTAAATCTGAATTTTTCACATGATTTAATAGTGCCTACATATATGTAAAATAGCTACATAAGTTATGTACTATTTATTTCCCGCAACGGAGGTACATCCCTTGTCATCTGGGGGCCCGAAGGGCCCACAGCAAGGTGGAGATCTACCGGGTTATTTCCCCGTAGCGACGAAATAAGGGTATTATTCTTCGTTTTTATATGATGTCATGACGGGCTTTACGACTCATAATCTCTACTTTGATCAATAAAAAAATCGAGTTTCTAGCAATGTTTGCTATTTCCTCGGTAACGCTTGTTATTTCCCCGGAAGTCCGGGGAAATAACAAACATTGCTAGAAACTCGATTTTTTTACCGATTAAAATAGTGATTATAAGTTGTAAACCCCGTCATGCGATCATATAGAAACGGAATAATATACTGTATCTTTGTTTACCGATAATTACCCGACAACTAGGGTTGGAGGCACGGAGGTTGGAGGCATGCCCCATGGGGCATTAGGGTGTTCAAAATAATAGATAAATCAAATCATAGTCGGGGTACATATGTAAGGATTTTTTACTGGTTTTTTAAATAATTTCCGTTAAACAGCAGAAAATTTAACTTTTACTTATTATTTCTTTTATTTATTAAACAAGTCTTTAAACAGTATATTAGCTTCTATTTCTCCAAACATTGCCTGTTTTTTGTTATCTTGTTTTTTATTATCTCGCTTATTTAAGTTTTTTTTTTATTTTTTTCTTTGTAATACCAATTCTTTAAAAAAAACTTGCTTAACACCTGAAAGATAAAGGTTAGTTTTTTTAGGTTCAATATTTATGTTCATATGACACTTAAGGTTATACTTATTAAACAAACCCTCAACCTGTTGTTGATAAATAACTATATAATAAATTTGATATTTGACAAATTCATATTAGAAGAAAAGTATAAATCAATTTATTAGAATTAGCAAAGTTAAATAGTTCTTCTATAAATAATGAATCTTTTGTTACTTTTAGTAAGCTGAAATCAATAGAATTAGATTGTTTAATATTTAATTCCAAAAAAATTGTATAATACAACTCTTTGAGACTAGAAACTTGATTTTGTTGTCTTTTTAATCTTATATATATATAACTTTTAGCAAACTCATGGTTATATTTACTATCTAATTAATACACACTTAATAGAAAATGAAACCATATACTCATTTACTTATTCAAAGAATTTATAGCTATATTAATATCAGCTTTTAAATTATTAAAGAAATTTTCAAAATTATCTTTATCAAAAATATCAATAGTATTATATATTTCTTTATCAAAAAGTAAACAAATATTGTTTTTAACTCAATATATATAAATTTCTTATCTATTTAATAACTGCATCAAGCATTTTATGAGCTCTGTGACCAGGTAAAAGTGATGTTAGTTGACTATTACAGTAGACTAAAGAATTTATAATTCTTTATTAGAGCCAATTAGAAAATTCATTATTAGCTTATAAACTTGTTTACTAAACTTTACAAGATATTTAATTTGTATTTTTAAAATCAAATTTATAAGTTATTGTTAAAGAAGTTTTTAATTTGTAAGATAAGTTTTTAGTATTTTTTTTTATAATTTTAATTTATTTAAAAATTAAAGAATAAAATTTTCTAAAAATTTTCTCCTTTCTACTAGTTGCCTTGCTATCTGTAGTTTATATAACTATTGTTGTCTTAAAGATTTTTGAAATTTAGTTAGCCAAATACCAAATAATTTAAAATATAAATCAAATATATATGTTAATTTTATATTTATAGAATTGTTTTTGTTACTTTTGGTTGTAATTTTCAAATAAAATAAAGAAAATTAAAAGAATGTTTTTAAGTAATCCTAAAAGTAAACCATTTAGAATTTTTAACAATAGAGTATTGTTGAATTAGATAAATATTTAATATGTCTTGATGCTATTTAACAAGCAAAAACTATTTGTTGGGCTCTTTATTTATTAACTATTTAATTACTTTTTTTGTACAAACTATAGCAAATTGATATGATATTTTTTCAATTTCACAGACTTGTATAGCTATAGAAATAGCTTTAGTACTATACTGTTTTTTATTTTTTTTTTATTTTTTATTTTTTTTTATTATTAATATAATGTCATAGTAGAAACTTTATTACAATAAATCTATATTAATCTAGAGATTAATAATCCTCTTGTTACTAAAAAAACTTGGGTAAGAGGGCAGATAAGTCACCTAACCAGGCTGCCAAATTCCTTCAACTCAGTACTAGCTAATAAAAAGAGAATATAGTTTTAGAAAAGAAAAAAAATTTTTCTATAGTAAAGATTTCTAACTACATTTGTGCTACAGAGCACTCAATGTGATATTACACCTCCAATTCCCTATTTAATACTATTATTAATTTAAATGAATAAAGTAATTCTAGCTAGAATAGGTTAGAGAAAACCTTAAGAAGCATGTTGTTAGGGAAAAGCCTTGTAAGTACTATTTTTCAATAGCATTATATGGATCTATTGGTTGTAAAAGAGTCTATGAAGAGTTGTTGAGTTAGTGAGTAGAGGTGTAGAGAATTTAATGTATTTGGTTTTAGGTGTAATGTTTTGGGCTATTTCTCATTAGTGTTGAAAAGAGTTGTGTTTAGACCATATATCATAGTAGAACCAGTGTAGAAAATTATTAGAGAGATTGATAAGTATGGGTTTTGTTTGTTTTTTAATTAGAGTTTTAGTATTTTGATATATTGTTTTGAAATATATTCCAAGAATTGTAGGGATAAGAGAGTTGTATTGTGTATTAGG